TTCTTGAGCTGTGCTCAATGTACTTTACAGCCCTTTTATTATAGAGTTCAAATTTTATCTGTGAATTACTAATAGAAACTGATTTTCAAAACTGCAAAGACCCAATTCAGAGTGTCTCAATGCTAATGTCACATTAGAATTTAAATCCAGGTTTACTTGATAACTCATTAGCTATGTAAAACATCTTTAGGAGTCCTTTCCACATAGAGGGATACTTCCTCAGCCTAGATACGTGGGGTAGGGCCTAGGCCCTCCTGCCTCAAATGATATGACAGGCTTTGAAGACTCCCCATGGAAAGCCCCTCCCTTCCTGGGGAACAGAAAGAGGGTGGAATGGGGGTTGGTTGGGATGAACAGGGGAGGTCAGGAGGGTGTGGGGGACTGAGATTGATATGTAAAACAAGCTTGTTTCAAATTAAAATTTAAAAAAATATTTTAAAAAACTCTGTCTTTCTCCCCCCCACCGCCCTGTGTGTGTGTGTGTATGTGTGTGTGTGTGTGTGTGTGTGTGTGTGTGTGTGTGTGTGTGTGTGTGTTGGGGGGATGTTATGCGCTAAAGTGTGAGAAGTGTTCCAAGCATAGGACCAGCAAAATCATTTATAAAGTCTAAGCACACATCTACACAAAGGCACACACACATAAAAGCATTACCACAGTTTGTTTTCTATTGATGTGATAAGACCAAGACCATGGGGAGCAAAATTTTATTTGGCTTACATATTCTTATCACAGTTTGTCACTGAGGAAAACCAAAGGAGAAACTCAATCAAGAAGATAACCTGGAGGCAGGAGTTGATGCAGAGGCCATGAAGTGTGTTGCTTATTAGCTTGCTCCTCTTGGCTTGCTCAGCCTGCTTTCTTGTAGTACCAGAACCACCATCTTAACGGTGTAATCAATGACAGTGGGCTAGGCTTTCCCACAATAGCATTTTATCATGAAAATACCCCCCAGACTTTCCTAAGAGCCAATCTGATGGAGGCATTTTCTCAGTTGAGGTTCCCTCTTCTCAGATAATTCTAGCTTGAGTCAAGGTGGCAAAACAAAACAAAACCAAACAAAAATCTAGCCACCACAGGCATATAATCCAAAAGATACAATTATATTTTCATAAAATTTAAGACCAATTAAAACTGAATTTCATTTTTATGGTTGCAAGTATGGATCATTAACTATAGAAAGATATTTATGAAAATTATTGTCATAAAACTATGGGTAATGATCATTCCAGCTAGATTGACCACACTTCAATGTATGACCCAATACCTATGAATATATATAGTCAGCACAAATTTGACTATTATTTATGAAATGGGTTATTTTTAAAAAGAGAACACAAAGTTTTGGGGTGAGGAGGTATGGAGTGGATCTGGGAAAAGATATGGGAGGAGTAGCAGTTCATAAATACCATGTATGAATTTCTCATAGAATTACTAAAATAAATAAAAGCTTAAATGACCACTTACAGAGTTGGTTAGAATTTTATCTAGAAAGGAGCATAGCCTAAGATAAGGGTAGTTTTGAGCTATTTACAAAGTTCTACTTCTTGATGAGGGTAGTTTCCTTTAGATTTATTTTAGCACTGTTGATATATGACAGGTTTTAAGGGCTGGAGAGTTAGCTCAGCAGTTAACAGCATTGTGTGCTCTTCCAGATTACTGGGGTTCAACATCCAGTACACACTTAGCAGTTCCTCACCACTTTTAACTTCAATATGAGGGGGTCCAACACTGTCTTCTGAACTCCATGTGCATATCATGCATGTGATACACAGACATGCATGCATGTAAAATACCCATTCACATGAAATATTAAAATATAAAAATTAGAAATTTTATTGAAGCACTACTTAGTGATGATATCTGCTTACCTTATATTTGTCTACACTGGAGGCATGTTGCAAACAGTTTTTCCAACCCTACACACAAATGGCTACAAATTAAAATTTACAGATACCATGAAAACTAGTAAAACTGAGTAAAAACTAAAGATTAGTCCTTAAAGTTATCCAGTAATTTTTCATGAAAGAGTGTCAGTTTGGATTTTCATTTTTAGTGTAGAAAATCAACTCAGATTAAAATTCAGTTTCAGATTTTATTTATACCAAAGTTTTTTTATCTCATATAATTTTATAACATTATCCATAGTATATATTCAGCTGATCTAAATTGAAAGAACAGTGAAAGTATATATTCAGCTTATAGTGCTTTAAATAAGCCCATGCAAATGATATGAAATATCCATTATATTTGAGTCATCTTGTGCTCATAAATTACTTGTAAATGAACTTTACAAAAATACATATGGTTATAAATATACTCTAATTCAAAACAAAGTACATTTCCACTATTTTTGATAATTGATACATGCTTTTTCCCCTTTGTTGGTCCTCCCAAAAAGGAAAATGCTGTTTTCTGTCATCATGCAAAGGAAATTTGACCTATTAAACAATTTCAAAAGATCTAGAGGATGGGATAGCAGCTAAGAGTACTGGATGGTTTTCCAGAGGATGTAGGACTTAATTCTCAAATTCCACAACACTGTAATTCCAGAAGACCCAATGACATTTTCTGGAAGCTGTGGGCATGAGACACACATATGATTCACCGGTAAAGATGGGGGAAAGTCACACATACATATAAAATAAAAGAATATTAAATTTTTTAAATACTAAATTATATATATGTATGGATATTGGTGGTTTTCCCATATACTCATGTATATATGGGCATTGATAACTGAACTTGAATTACCAAAAAGAAAAAAAAAAGCATGATGCTGGTAGGCTGGTAGAGGGGTATTGGAGAGAATAGGGGAGAAATTGAAGTGAACGATCATAGTTCATTGTTTACATGTATGTAATTCCCCCAAAAAACAAATTAGCACTCCCTGTCATAGCTTATGTCACACAGCTGAACACCAGCTCATTCTGGTGAGTGACTATGCTCCTATTCTCCAGTACTGTCCTCACATTCCCAGAAGGCCTAGCTAAGGTTGCTTAGCATGTTTACCTGCCCAGCTTATTAAATGATCCTGAACCTTGTCCTTCCATATTGCCCCCACATGCTCAAGAATAGCTGCGGTCTTTTAGCTTGTTCATCCACCCAAACAGGCAGGGAAATGAATGCCGGTGCTGAGTTGCCCTTCTCTTTTTGCTTTAGTCAGAGCCTCAACCCATTGAATGGTGTCCCTTATACTTAAAATAGGTCTTCCAACCACCACCAGCCCAATCTAGAAAGTCTCTGATAGATATGTTTGGAGAGAGGTTTGTTTCCATGGTATTTCTAAATACCCTAAATTGACAATCAAGAAAGACCATTACAGGTTAGCTATTTTCTCTATTTGTGCTATTAGCATGCTTTCCATTCTTTTCCTTACTTACTGCACATGGTAAGAGAGTTGGTGATGCAGAACAGGATGATCTTGGATTTGTTGACTACAACTCAGGCAAGACCTTGTGATGTCTATCCCCACACTGGAGTTCTGCTTCTAATGTCCTGGCTTCTACAGGTTAAACACAAAAGTCTAACATATGAAAGAGAACATGTGGCATTTGTATATGTGGGCCTAGATTACCTTATTTCTATGTTTTCTCTTATTCAATCTATTTATTTACAAATTTCATACTTTATTCTTCATAGATGAATAAAATTTTATTGTGTATATGTATTTTCATTATCAATTTTTCTATTGATGGGCATCTAGGCTTGTTCCATTTCCTAGGTATTATGGATATTTTGTGTATATAGATGTGCAAATTTTAAGGTGACACTCCATTGTTTTCATAAAAATGTCAAAGGGGCCTGTGAACCAAAAATACTTAAGAACCACAAACACACTGGTGTGTTTGCACTTAGAATGTAAATGACAATAGGCGGTATAATCTTATCCACCATACATACATTTCTTCCTTCTAATTGAAGATCAAGACAGTTCTTTAGTTTATACTGGTAACTGATTTTGAGGAGTGGTATGAGTGAAGGCACATAAATAGCTTAGAAGTGACTCACAAAATAACTTACATATAGGATGAACTTGTGATTGAGAATTTGAGGGTTATTTTTTTTCAGTGTAGATCACATGGTATGAACAAGCTTAAAGAGATTAATTCATAGTACATGGGATTTTATAGTACATTATAATAAGCAGAACACCAACTGTGGCTCTAAGCCTTTCTTGAAGTAACATTCCCTAAATGAGTTATCCTTCTATATTTAAGTGCTATTCAAAGTGAAAATTCACCAATTTAAAAAGACATTCCTATTTATAGGCTATTCTTGTGCTATAGGGATGATTTGAACATATTTTTATTTAATTTATTTAAATTAGAAATAGTCTTATTTTACATATCAATCCCAGTTCCCTCTCCCTCTTATCCTTCCATGTCCCCACTGGAACCCCCCATCTGTCCACCCTCTGGGCAGGATGAGGTTTTCCATGGAGGATCATCATCAAAGTCTGAATTTGAACATATTTTAAATGATAAAAATCAACTAGGACCACAAAGAATAGTTAAAGACTTGTATCATTAACTTCAAATGTGAAAAACAAACTTCAATTTCATAATTTATAAAGTACATATATTGTAGGGCACCCAATGATAACCCTTAATACGTAGTCAGTGACAAGCAGTTGTTTTCCTAATAGGAAACAGATCAGTATAAGTCCTCTCACTTTAATAAAACTTGCAGATAGCTGCAATATTAACTTTTGATTACAAAACTTCTGAAATTGTTTGGATTTCTGATTATTATATATCAGCTGTAAACTCTCAACAGCAAGTTACTGCCAAATACCTAAGTTTTGCACTTGCTTTTTCTGTATTGTAATTCTGAATCATTACCCAATAAAATATGTGTTAACATGTGCATGTAAATGATTCTTTAAATATAAGTGTGTAGTTAAGTGTCTGGAGTATCTGACTAGTGCCACACTCCTTTAAAAATTCATTTTCAAGAAACAGTATCAAGTGATTCCACTCAGGGAATCCCACTCAGGGATTTTATTGGTTGCTTCCACTGTCGCTTTCTATAGGAATTTTCACAGTGGCTCTCCGCCTAGGCTTTGCATGACCATGCGAGCGACTCACAGACAGGAATTGCTCCAATTTGGTCAGTTGGCATTCCATGATGTTCAGATTGACTAGTATTTGTTTGTGCAAGGCTAATGTCCGTGGAAAATGGTGTACCATAGCCTGGTTGTAGCGCTTGCCAGGGAAACTCAGAGGAGTGTTCCTGTATGACCGAATGGGATTTGCTCTCAGCAGTGCAGAAGGTTTTGGGTTGGATGATCTTTCATATTCAGTCATCTGTAAAAGAAATTATAACTCTGGTATTTCAGAGACAAGAAATCCCCAAATCATAACTTGGTTATGACAATGAGAAGGTCCCCCAAGAGATATAGATTGGAGAATGTTGAAGGGTAACATTGACTAATATGTATGTTTTGCACAAGCACATTCTGAGAAGAAATGAATATTACCTTGTAATATCTGGCTTTGGGAAGTTCAGTAGTAGCCTCAAACCCTGTCTGTGATTCTTATTTAAAAGCATTTCACTTGCAAATTTAGATACCAAAACAAAACAAAACAAACAAAACAAAACAAAACCCACAAAAAGCAACCCACATATTTAGAACTGAGCATACTTGTGAACACCCATGAGTTTCTAACACCATGGTCATTAATACTATTGTAAAATCACTTTACTTATGTCTTTAAACCAACACCAGGGAATTCACATTTAGGATATCATCAAAGAAGTGAAAGAAGACAAGATGGGGGTTTCATGGTAGGGAATGCGCATTTTCAGCTCTCCTATTCTCTCATGGTGAGCGAGGTTCACTGGAATGCCGACCATATCATTCATGACCTCTAACTGTCTTCTAACTGACCACAACTATTGAATACAGTGCTAAAAGCTTGGGAAGCTCATGAAGCAGAGGCATCAAATGTCAGGGCTCTGTGGAGTGGGCAGGTGGCAGTTGATGTCCTTCGCTGAATTCCTTTCCTCTTTTCTATCCATGTATTGAATTACTTTAATGTTAAGGCAGGTTCCTCCTGCATACAGCTTACCTGAAATAGCACCTTTAAGATGGAGAAGAAGAAAGCAAAAATGATGCTGCCAAGAAGAATGGATATGATGTTCATGGTCACTCTCAGGATACTTCTGTTCTCTGGAAAGCCAGTACCAGGCGGTGGGGAACGGCAGCTGCCGATCTAGCAGGCTAGCTGGAGCGGACAAGGGTTAGGTACTTCTTTCCCCTACACCGCCTGGTGATAACTGGCATGAGCTGCCTGCTGCCCTGCCTCATATACTGAAGGTGATGTCAGCACTCCTCATTGTCTACAACTTGACACTTCACAATCAGGGTCCTCTGGCAGGATCATCCTGGCCAGCAGGAAGGGGATGCACCCTGGGCACTGCCTCACTGGATGTAGGACCAGGTCATTAGAATGAATGGCAAAAGCGAATGTGGAGCATTGGGATTTCATTAAAAAGATGGAGAGAAAGTACAGATTATAAAGAGATCCATCAAATATGTGATGTAAAAAGTGTTAATTCTACCATTCCCCCTCCCTTATTTATGCTCCCCCCACAACCCACCCCATCCACTCCTCAGAAAGAGTAACTCCCATGGGGAGTCAATAAACCCTGGCCTATCAAGTTGAGTCAGGACCAAGCCCTTATCCCTGCATCAAGGCTGAGCATGGCATCTCACCATAAGGAATGGGTTCCAAAAAGCACCAGGGATAAATCATAGTATCATTGTCAGGGGCCCCTCAAACAGACCAATCCACACAACTGCCTCCACTTGCAGAAGGTCTCCTTTGTTATTTAAAGATGATAAACAAGTGTTTTCAAAAATTCAAATGTTGTAAGATGTGGGAAGTTCCTTTTCCCTTGTCAGGGGTCCATTTATGTCTCAGAGTCCTCCTTGTTTCCTAGCTTCTCTGGGGCTATGGACTGTAGACTGGTAATCTTTTGCTCTATGTCTAAAATTCATTTATGAGTGAGTGCATACCATGCTTGTCTTTCTGTGTCTATGTTACCTCACTCAGGGTGGTTTCTTCTAGTTCCATCCATTTGCCTTCGAATTTCAAGATTCTATTGTTTTTTCCCCAGTGAGTAGTACTCCATTGTGTAAATGTACCACATTTTCTTTATCCATTAATTGATTGAGGGACAGCAAGGTTGTTTCCAGGTTCTGGTTATTACAAATAATGCTGCTATGAACAGAGTTGAACTGATGTCCTTGTTGTATGAAAGTTCATCCTTTAGGTATATGCCTAAGGGTGAAATTGCTGGATCTTATGGTAGACTGATTCCCATTTTCCTGCAAAAGCACCATACTGATTTCCAAAGTGGAGGAGTGTTTCCCTTTCTCCACCTCCTCTCCAGCATAAACTGTCATTGGTGTTTTTTATTTTAGCCATTCTAACAGGTATAAGATTGTATCTTAGATCTCCTGAGTAAATTGGGAGCACAGGGGAGAGGGGAGGGGGATGTGAGGAAAAGGAGGGGAGGAGAGAGGGAAGGAGAACATGAGGGAACAGGAAGGTTGAGCTGGGAGAAGAACAAAGAAGGAAAGAGATACCTTAATAAAGGGAGACATTATGGGCTTAATGAGAAATCTGGCACTAGGGAAATCTCCAGGGATCTACAAGGAAGACCTCACCTAAGAATCTAAGCAATAGCGGAGAGTTTAATTTAAATACCATTCCCTAATAATGAGATTGATGACTACCTTAAATGCCATCATAACACATTTACCCAGTAGCTGATGGAAGCAGAAGACACCCACAGCTAAGCACTGAGTTAAACTCCTGAAATCCAGTTGCAGACAGGGAGGTGTGATGAGCAAAGGGGTCAAGAGCAGGCTGGGGAAACCCACAGATACAGCTGACCTGAGCAAATGCAAGTTCATGGACTCCAGGCTGACAGCTGGGAAACCAACATAAGACATAACCAGGGCCCCTGAATGTGGGTGTCAGTAGGGGCCCTGGGCAAGCTATGGGAACTCTGGTAGTGGAACCTGTATTTATCCCTAGTGCACAAATGGATTTTAGGAGTCCATTACCTGTGGAAGGATACTCTTTCAGCCTAGATATATGATGGAGGGCCTCGGTCCTGACCCAAATGATGTGACAAACTTTGATGATTCCCCTTAGGAGGCCTCACCCTCCCTGAGAAGTGGATGGAGATGGGATGGGAGCTTAGTTCGGGGAGTGGGAGAACAGGAGGGAGAGAGAAATGGAATTGGTATATAAAATAAAATTATTTTTATTTTAAATTAAAAGTAATTTAAAAAGAGGTGGGATATGGTGATTTAATAAGGATCTGGATTAACAGAGATGCAGAATAGATGTTTATTCAGGGAGAAATAACTTACTACAGAGACAGATGAATACCAGCAGGTTTCTGGTCCCAAGGATGCCTCCAGATGCTCTCTGTTCCAGTCCAGCAGGAAAGAGAGGGCTCCGGGGCCCTCAGGTCACATCAGCTCCTGTCCCGACACCCCAGTGAGTGTGGTAAATGCCATAGGTGTGCACAAAGTGAATATTTCACTACATTAAATCTTTCTAAATGCTAATGGACTAAATATTGTTAACTGTGTTTTTTATTTGATAACAGTTTTGTTATATATTTTGCTATTTTAAGGTTAAAACCCTTCTTTTTATTTAGATAGAAAAGAGGAGATGATGGGAGATGTCATTATGTAAATATGTTTCTCTTATTGGTTAATGAATAAAGCACTGTTGGCAAATAGGAAGGCAAAATAAGGCAGAACTAGGAGAAAAGGAGGATTCTGGGAGATGTAGTAGGAGATTCAACATGTAGAGACCTGAGTCAGAAGAAGGTCCAGACCCTCTCTCCCGTAAGATAAGACCACGCAGAAACACTTAGATTAATAGAAATGGGTTAATATTTAAGACAGAACTAGCCAATAAGAAACGCTGGTAACAGGCCAACAGCTTTATATCTAATATAGCGTCTTTGTGTGTTATTTGGGACTGACACGGCTATGGGACAAGGGTGGCAGGAAAACTGCTCATAACAGTGGGAAACCACATATTAAGCAACATTGCAGGGTCAGAAATAGTCTTCTCCAGACTCCAAGGCTACCTCAGGATTTGCATCCACTCTAGTCTCACAAGGTTGTCAAGTACACTTGTATCACTGTTTCCACTGGGGGGAAAATAATTTCAGGGATGTTTCTTTGTGCAATCATCACTAAAAATTTGTTCACTTGGCATGCTAATTTTTAGGTGTGTTTCAAAATTGTGGAGACAGATTTGGATGGTAACCATACATGAATTTGTAGGTCTCAGTTACATACTTCTGTTCCCTCACCCTCATCCATACCCCTTCTTTTCCACCTCCACTCTACTTTGTGAGCAACAAGTTTTTTTATATTTTCCAACTGAAGAATTTTAATCTTTTTTTTATACCATACAGTTTCCTAACTACAAGGACAAGGCTTACAATTTTATTAGTTCAATAAATATTTGTTAAACATGTATGTCACAGGGATGCCTCCGGATGCTCTCTGTCCATGTCCAGCAAGCAAGAGAGCACTCCGGGGCCCCTCCCCCAGACCTAGTTCTCCCAAGTCATGTCTGCCCCTGTCCCCACCCCAATGGGCATGGTCAGAGCCACAGGTACGGACAGATTGAATATCTCACTACATCCCAGGCATTGGTGGTGCGCACCTTTTATCCCAGCACTCGGGAAGTAGAAGCAGGCGAATCTCTGTGAGTTCAAGGCCAGCCTAGTCTGCAAAGCAAGTTCTAGGACAGGCTCCAAAGCAATACAAAGAAACGTTGTCTCAAAAAATAAACAGAAAGAAAGAAAGGAAGGAAGGAAGGAAGGAAGGAAGGAAGGAAGGAAGGAAGGAAAGAAGGAAGGAAGGGAAAGAAAGTATTCGCTAGGAAGGTGGGATTACACTGGGAAGAAAAGATAAAGATATGTGACAATGTTGTCCATTGATACCTGCAACTGCATCTCCTTGTTGGCTTTTTGTAAATATCAAGGTCTGTTTCAGAGGGTGAGTGCTTCCCTAAATCTTCAGGAGATATTCATAAATATTTCACAGTTCACACTTATTTATCAAGAAACATTTTCCTGACTGTACCTTGAACTTGAGCTTTGCTCAGTATTGCTGAAATTGTTCAGTTTGATTGTTGCACCAGGATCCATTGGAGCAATCATCGTCCCATTTCAGCAGGAAGTAATCTTAATATGACTACGCCCCCTTTCCCTACCCTTGGAAATTTGGGATAATAGTCATCGTCTTTGGGTTGGTTTTAGTTATTTGGGATTGGGTGATGCTTACACTCGGGTTTATCTTTTAGACAGGAATAGGGAATGGTGGGTAAAGGTATGGTTTAGATGAGATATAAGTAGATTAGCCTATTTCCTTGAGAATTTGAGTATGAATGAGATAGTATTTTACAGCTTACATTGTTATGTATTCCTATGTGGTAAGCTATGTAAAATTAAGTTTATATTTTGTTATATTATGTTAAATGTTTCCACTTATAATATTTATGCACATTATTTTTTACCATATTCTATGTATGTATACTTTTCTTGTGTTCAAGACATTTTGTATATTGATACAATTTGGGATATTTATCTTGCTGCCCTTTATAGTTCTACCTCTTGTCTTGACACTTATACTCTACCTCTATTTTAGGGATTTACATGTAGGTATATGTAAATAGTTATATTGTTTAAGTATTTGTTCCTGCTTTACTCAGGAAAGTTTTAATCAGTCTTTTTAGCTAAGTTCCCGAGTATTATAGATTATCTTCACTCACATTTCCTGTACCTATGAGATTAGTCAGATATAGATGCTTAATCTTCAATCCTTCATAGACATACAGAACATGGCATTTAAATGTTTTAATATTAGTACTCCTTTGACATGAGACACTGTTGCTCCTGACAGCACCGTGCATTTTCCCGAAAATATGTTGGACACTGTTGTTGCTCCTGCTGGAGTTCAATCTCGCCTCAGCTAATGGCCTGTTGGGCATAGAATTGCCCCCACCTTGACCACTGATTTGGACATGCAGTCCTATGTGCTTACAGGAGACAAATATAGAAGACTGCTTGACCTTGCCAAGTCAGGGTAAGACAGCCA